CCAGAGGGCTGGCCCAGCTAAAGTAATTTGCATTCCTTGGTCGATTTAACCCTGGCAGCTCAGGAAATTGATAATTTAGTTCTATGGATTCGGCAAGAGCAAAATGAGAGGCAGCATCTAGGTCTTGGCAAGAGGCTGTGTGAGAGCCATGGTGGGCAATTAGGAGAGAAAGTTGTGTGCCTGCAGGCTGGTGCATGGAGAGATGAGAGCCCTGTTTCACCAGCTCATCTTGGGACCTGCTGAAGGGGCCGGGGGATGACATACGGGTCTTTCTCCTGCCCTGGGCCCCAACTTTTATTTGTTACTTAGAGTCTTGTGTGCGGTGGGAAGCCTGGACTGCTCCTGCAGAGAGGAGCAGGCAGAGGGAGAAAGGGCCAAGAGCTGGAGTCTTCAGCGATGTGGCCAGGAGGTGCGGTGGGTGCCAATCGCAGCCGCTCCAGCTTAGAGTTTGGCTTTGCAAAATGAATCGTTAAGTGGCAAGGCACAGAGGAGGGATTGCGGGGCCAACTTGGAAGGGGAAGGAAGGTTTTGAGGACTGTCATTGCCACTTGGAGAGGCTTTGGAGCAGTTTCTAAATACAGCTTTTCATGCCTTCTTTGCAATAGCTGAGTGAAAGCCCCGGAGAGCTGGTCATGCTGGCAGGGAGGGCTCCTGAGCAAGGCCACCCTGTGCTGCTGATGTGGAGGTCTGGCTGGGAGAACAGCAAAGGGGAGCACATCTAGCCCCATTGTGGAGAATCCTTCCCTGCATCCTTATCCTAATCAGTGCTGACTCTTGGACAACCACTGGGAGATTTTAGCCTTAGGAAAGCTTTTTTTTTCTATTTTTTTTAATGTTATATTTTATCTTCCTGCATTTTTGCCTCTGTGTTCTCTCTTTCCTGACCCACCTTTTCATTGCTCATATCTTCGTAGAGCATTCAGCCCCTCACACTCAAGTCTTTATCCCTTCTGCATCCTTTCTCTAGAAAAACAAGCTGTGACACTGCTGTAGGGAGCAGCTATCCCAAGCAAAGGCTTTTAGGGCTCTGTGGCTGCCGCGAGGTTTGGGTCCGGGTCCTGGGTCTGTGCACAGCTTCCAGATGTGGGTGTAGGAAGAGAATTACGAACTCCAGAGAAATGAAAGGACCCTGCCAAGTGGCAGTAGTGCAAGGGGAGCTTGGAGAGTGCAGCAGAGGAGGCGTGAGTGGTTTCAAAACAAAGGCTTGGCTCCCTTCTGCACCTCCCCAAGAGGACCCTGCAGCCCCGCTTCACCATCCTCATGGGAACTTGGATGCTATTAGGCAGTTCATTAGTAAAACTTCTGAGCAGTTCCCACTGCCATTGAGTACCCATTAATTCCTCTTGAGGGGAGAGGAGAACATTGGAAAAGCACAGAAACAATCTGAGGGTCCTTGATCTCTTTTTGGTCATGGGCTGAGGTTGGAGGGGAAGAGGGGCTGGGCAGGGACGCCAGGCAGGAAAGCAGTGCTGTGATTACCTGCTGAAGTCTGAGTGCAGAAACAGAACCTGACTTGAACTGTTACTTCTCAAAAGCTCCCGAGGGGTGCTTTAGGGTTATAAACACCTACTCACTGATCTGCTTTGTGCACATCTCGAGCCAGGTATTCCCACACTAGAGGGAAAGCCAGCAAAAACCTGCGCAGATGTCCCTAACAGCTGCAGCTGGGCTGCGGTAAGCCACCCCTGCTGCTACAGTTTATTAGCACTGCAGGGTCTGTCCCCTTCTCCTTGCTTGCTTATGTATACAGTCAGCTGTTAAAGTACACTGACATCACATAATTAATGGTTTAATTGAATCTTGCAAAGGGATCGAAATTGGCTGCCTGACTCTTGTCACTGAGGTACTCACACAAGAAATAGTAAATCACCAATTCAGCAGATAAAGCTGCAGCTCTAGGTAGAAAGTCCTTGTTGCTGGGGACAGGGAAATAATTCCTCTCTGCAGAATAATACACTGTTAGGGAGAAGGCTTGGGGCTATTTTTCCAAGCCACCAGGTGCCATCCCTGTCTAAGGGAAGGGTAACTGAGTTAGACTAACACCCCAAGGTGGTGTGGCACTCATTAAGGGGTAAACAGACCTGAGGCTGCATTTTATCTGTAAGTCGGAACACTGTTTTGTGTTTCACCCCATATTCAATGGAGAACAGTCCACGTGGTATTTTTAAATAGAGGGAAAAACCCCAGACAGGTCAGGGTTGAACCATGATGAAGTTTTGTGTGAAGTTTCTGAGCTTGTTTCATGTAGAAAGGCTTCTTGAGAGTAAGGAATCAAAAGTTAGGAGGGAGAGAAAAATGTCCCAAAGCAATGGGGAAGCCCAAAGGAAGGGATGTGACCCTTATGAGGGTGCTAATGCTGTGGCCGTGCTACTGACAAGTAAAGTAATTGCTGCTCAGGAGGAATGTGAGCTAGTAGAAAACAGTATTCCACCCAGGTGCCAAGAAAAGCAATTAGAACTGGTAAACACCAGTGACTGACTAAAACCAGGGCCCTAATTAATAGTTTCATAAGGAAATCATGAAGTGCTATTGGTGTCTGTTAATTCCCTGCAAGACGAACAACAACAGAGTTTTAAGACATCTTTCACTGTACAGTGTGTGCAGGAAGGAGCGACTGAGCCCTTGCACAGGGTAGGAGAGCTCGCTTTGTACAGCTGTGCTCTCCCACTTCACCGTCGGCTGCCTCAGAGGCCTGGGATGTGCTGCAGAATGAACAGCTCAGACTGTGAGCATTTAGGTGAGACATGGCTTTGGGGGTGCTCCATCAGGGCAGGAGAGAAGGTGGGTGGGAGACGTGACTTCAGTTAAAAGCTTTGCAACTGAAGCACTGTGCTGGAGAGCTCAGGGGGAGTATGCAGAGCTGGGGGTTTGGAAGACAAATATTGCATGATACTGTACAGATTCAGCCAGAGAACCATGGAAAAGTGACAGTCTCTTCTGTCCAGCTCTGAGAGCGCTATATATTGGAGGAAGAAGTAGGGGTAGTTAACAGAACTAGGCAATACAGACAGGGAGATAAAACCACCCACTGTATAAACAGTGGTGGTGTATTGATAGACTTCATAAATGTTCACAAATGCTCAGAAACCAAGAGTTAAGGAGTGGCCTTTACAAAGGGCACAGCCTTCATTCTAAGTCTGGATAAGACAAAGATTTATTCTTATTGCTTTCTGACTCCCGAGTCATCCACCTACTCTTCCCTCAATTTTGGAAGGACTGCAAATCTCTTCCCAATCAGATTTTGCAATTTGCTTTATCATCTTTATCTGATGCAGGCACTTCTGCTGCACTGATGCAACGGGCAGCTTGTGGTAGAGAATGGCAGTGATTGGTGTTCTTGGTGCGTTAGAGAGTACATCACTGACAAGCCTGCCACCTCGGACTGGTGCTCCTCCATTCTCCGGGCTGGTCACAGCATTTGGCACAGAACCAGTCCAGCCTTGCTGAAAGGCACAGCAGTGTTTACACATGCCTTCCCCAGCTAGCTGCCTCGATACCCAGTTAATCTTTGCGGTTTTTATTTGACCTGGTATCTTCTCCTTAAAAACAGGAAAATGAAGTCACTAGAAGCTCAGCCATATTTCTGGAGTGAGGGGGAAGCTCTTCTAGGGTGTCAAACATCTACAGAAGAACCTCTCTTCCTCACTGTCAAATCTGTGACAGCTCCAGGAACTTCCCTTTAAGATAACCTACCCTCGATTCAAATTCAGACAGTTGGGGATTCATCGAGTCTTGTTTTCTTCTCTTCTGTCAAATGCAACTCAACAGGCTCTTCTAAGCAGACTGATTTCTTTCAAAACCTGCCGTGTGCCATTCAGCCCCATGAAGGAGGTTCACTGCCTCGTTGCCATGGTACCCTTTCTCTAAAGAGGAAGAGAATAGTTAATTATGCAATTTAAGAAACTAAGGAGGAACGACAGGAAGAGAAATAATAGAAAGGAAGATTCTGGGTTTGTGACAGAACTGCTGGCTGCACCAAAATACACTCTGTTTACAGGTGAAATATTAGCCCAGCATACGCTGTATATGGCCAGGGCTTCTCTGGCAGTGTGGATTTCAAGGCGCTGCCCCTTCCTAGGCAGTGTGCCTCTGCCATCCAGGAAATCAATCCTGTAGTCAGTTCCTGCTGTTACCTTCCCTCATTAATGCTCCAGAGAGCCTCAGACATGTTTCCTTGGCAGAAATTCTCTCTGGATGGAGCTGGGACAGCAATAATGCATCACAGACCTGTGACAAGCTCATGCTGCCTGTGGATATACAGAGGTACAGTTCCAGACCTAAGTGTTTTAAATCTCCTTGGCAGCATTTCCTTGTTCCTCAGGCCTGCTACTAACCCCCTACTTGCTTTACCCAGGACCTCAGAAAATCCAGTTTGTGGTGCCCGAGGCAGGACGAAAGAGACTGCCAGTATCAAAACTGGCAAGATCCCAGCCCCTTTAGGACTGGCATTTTCTGTTTGCCAGTAGCGCTGGCAGGCCAGCTACAGCTTGGGCAAAACAAAACACTGCAACAGATCTTTGCCAGTAATGGATCCAGATGGCAGTGCTCCACGCTGTGCGAACAGGGAGAGCTGGCCCTTGCACAGCACACTGAGCTCTGCAAGCCAGGGGCAAGGGGAAGAGTTACCCCATGCCTTGTTCCCAAATGTGTGCGGTGAGAGAGAGGGAAGGAAGATGACGTGACCCCATGCAGTTGTTTACTACAGGAAGGAGATCTGTTTCGGTACAGACCTTGAGCTCCCCTTCCACCTAACAAGGGCAATAATAGCACAGAGGGCTAGACAAGAGCCACATACAGTGGTAAGAGAGCAGTTGAGAGGTAATAATAATCCAAAATACTTCTGGGAACACAACAGGAACGGCTGTCAAAAGACCAACATTTTAATCAACAAACTTTGTACACAAGAGGCCTCTCACTAAGGGAATACACATATTCCTGCCACCTGGGCTTTTAAGGCCCCAGATGGTCTCTCTCCTTCATGCTTCCCTCAACAAGTATTTCCAGGAAGGGTGCTTTTCACGAATCTGTCACAGGAGCAACATTCAACCCAGTCCCTGTTTCATGAGCTGCTGTTGAAAGCTGTGTGTCTCTTCTACTCCCCTCTCACATTCGCCTGGCTTTGCGTGGGCGGCAGCCGTTGTGTGGAAGCGGGGTGTTGTCGGTGATGGAGATAACCTCTAAACCACCCATAGTCAAACCCTTGATGGCAGCCTAGAAAAACAAGACAGCAGATGACATGCTGTTATCAACACATTGAGCAGCAGAGAAGGGGAAAGCTCAGGGGAAAATAGTTTGGTCCCCTGTCCAAGAATCAACTTTTTTCCAATAGTTCTACTTTGTACTTATCTTTAAATAATTCATATCAGCATTCTCATCAATTTTCCTGCTTTAGTTGGAAGAAGTCCCAAATACAGCTTTTATTCTGCCTCTGAAGTGAAATTATTCTAAAATTCTAATGATTCTAAAATTTCATTACTAGGCACTTGAGTGATGAACTCTTACATAGCCTTCAGAAAAAACAAATTAATAGGTACAGTCATGAGACCAGCATGAATTTAAAAAACCTGGATGATGCCTGAGAAAGAAAAATATTAAAAGAAACTCTGACACCTACTTTGCGTCCTGGTCCTAGTCCTTTCACCATGACTCGTACGTGTAATACACCCCTCCCACGTGCTTTCTGCAAAAAGAACAACTGGTTAGCATTCTCTTTGATATAATTACTGCTGCTCTCGCTCCTCTAAAGTCCTTCATTCCTTTTTGACCCACTATCATAGTATTTTTTAAGTAAAAATAAAGAGTAGGTAGTAATGGATACACAACTATGGGGATTATTGCACAAAGACGCTGTGAGAAAAGGAGGCTTGGAAATAGCCATGACAATTTCAAGAGAACTTCTGTGCGAGGCTGTCAACTCTGCACAGAGAAAGCTTTAAGATCAAACTATCTGTGACTAAAGCCAGGGTAGAAAATTACATACCCGTGGATACGTGACTGAACTGGCAAGGGACTAACAAGGACTAACTCAAAGCTGTTTTCCCTTCTCTAATGCAGCAACTTCTCTCCTGTGATCAGTGTATTCCTTCTGGAGCGTAAATGAGAAAAGCAGGTAAGCTTTATATTTGCTGTGCAGGAGTCCACACCTTCAGTGCAAAAATTCTAGGGGCTTGCAAATTGAAAATGAAAAACAGCAGCTGTAAAGCATAGCAGTGCTGCCACCGCGTGGATGGAGCTCCTCGGGGTCTCTCTCTTTCTGTGTTCTGGTGCAATTAATATACTACCAACTTAACAGTGAAGATGTTCTTATATTCCTCCGAGTCAGCCACAATAAGCTGTGGCACCAAACACATCTGACATGAAAGGCTGGAGCAAGTTCCGCCTAATTTAGGATGAGGATTTTCAGTTTAACCTTGCCTCATTCTGCTGTAATGAGGAGGATGACACAGCCAGCCTTGTCTTTTCCTGCCACCTAGACACCCACATGGGCTTTTAGGAACAATTACAGTAAACTGTATGCAGCTGGAAATTACACACGCAAGGACATCACCTTCTCTGACTGGAACTGCTGGCAGCAGCTCAGTTCTCCTGTGGCAGAGAGGAAATATAAAACATTCAGCCAGTAATTACAACTGCTTCTCAGTCCCCCACAGCACAAAAATTGAACTGCTGCTGATTCAGGCACTACACTTAGAAAAAAGGAACTATACAAACTGGAGCTAGAAGAGGATAGGTTCCAAATTACATTTCCTGATCACAAAATCCACAGCTCAGTTCACTCTCTGGGCATTTCCAACTGCTGTTTCAAACACCCTTGGTCTGTGTGAAGACACACACTGTTTCAGACAAAGCTAGGAAAGCTGTCAGCAAACAGCAGTGTGCTGCTCGAGTGCGAAGGAACAGAGCTCTGGACTGCTGCCCATGAGTGAGGTATGTACCCAGGGAGTGGGGGAATGCAGACAGTGCTCCCCTCGGGGAGGGTGAAAATAATTAGCACAGACTCACCACTGCTGCTGCCATGGCCGCAGTCTGTGCCGCGATAGCAGTTCCCTTCTTGGCATTCTGGAAGCCTTCTGTGCCACAGGACGTACGGGCAAACGGCCTGTTGTCAAAGCTGACCACTTGGATGTGGGTGCTACAGAAAGAGAGGGGCAAAAGAAAGCAGCAAGCTAGAACCAAGCTGTATTCTCCAGTTTCTTCTCACTCAGCTTACAGACACAGCTCACCACAGAACTCCCATCTCCCTTCTCCAAGCCACCCTAACTCAGCACTCTCTTTTGAGGTATCCCACTTACATGAACTAGCTGCAGAGACCTCCCAGCCGTGACCTTCTAGGTCACCCTAGAGAATCTGAACGAGGTGGCAAAACCTTTCTGGATAAGGTGTTCTTTATCCAGGTATAGCTCAGATACTGCTCAGCCTCCTCTCATGGTGAGTATTTGAACTCTTCTGTTCATTAAAAAAACCCACATAAAACATTTCTAGAACTTCAAAGAGCTTTAAGAAACAGTAAAATGCCACTCTAGGGACCACTAATGAAACACAACAATCTCTCATGGAGAATAGGACAATTTTTTCTACAGCTGTACAGCAATAGTGCTGGAGCAGAGGGTTGGAAGTAACTTGCCATTAAAGCCATCAGCATCTGATTATTCAGATCGGAATGCAGTCAAAATATCTAATAACAGTCTTATTCCTGTTAAAGACACTATAAGGACAGTTATGCTTCCCAGTCATGAACACCACTCGCTTGACTTTTTTCCTTTGAGCCTTTTGATCAAAACAATGACTGGCCAAAGCCTGGCTACTTTATAAGCTTTCATTCTGTTTTTTTCAGGAATGGAGCAGCTCATTTGCTTACTTGTTGTACGTAGCTTTGATGTGAGCTATTGGGATCTCTTCATAGACCTTTCCATCCCATCTCATCGAGTTCCTCTGCAAGATTAAAGGGCTGAGGAGCAAAACAAGAGTTATCAGGCACACAATTTTGTGAAGTTTTATTTCAATACTAGGAAAGAAATGATCTAGTCTCCAAAAGACACAATCACAGAATAGTTTGGGTTGGAAGGGACCTTAAAGATCATCTAGTTTAAACCCCCTGCCATGGGCAGGGACACCTCCCACTAGCCCAGGTTGCTCAAAGCCTCATCCAGCCTGGCCTTGAACCCCTCCAGGGATGGGGCATCCACAGCTTCTCTGGGCAATCTGGGCCAGCCGCCTCACCACCCTCACAAGCTGCATTTGTGACTAAGTCACTCGCTCTCCTTCCTCGCCTGAAAAAGTGACAAAACCTCCCAGCAAGAGCCAAACGGCAGAGCCTCTCACCTCAGGTCGGTCGCACTCTGGTTCTCCGCCTCCTTCGCGGCAGCCGGCTCCGAAAGCTCCTGCAGCCTCTGGGGGCCGGTGCGCAGGCCGCGGCCCAGGGCGGCAGTACGGCCCCTGCAGGAAACAAACCGGGCGCCGGTTATGAGGGCTCGGGTCA